AGACAGTTACACCCACCAACTGCTGTGTAACCCCATCAACGGGAAAGATCCAGAGACTATAAAACCGAGTTCCCAGAAGTGTGGCCACATTTGTAGCCCTGCGCCTCTTATTGTCTAGTTCTTGCTTTCAGAGAACCCAGCAGGCTCCCGAGAGTATCTTCCCCCCATATATGCCTGACTGGGAACATCTGTAAAGATGATTAGAGCCTGCCCCTAAAGCCTCCATCACTCTTGGAAAGCCCGGCAAGTTACCAAGAGTATCCCGCCCACACAGCAGAGCCTGGCAAGCTACCTGCAGTGTATTTGATATGCCAAAAACAGTAAAAATGATGATTCTCATTCCCCTGACCCTGGAAGAGCCTCCAATATGCCATCAGGCTACACTAGTATGTGACAGGAATGAATGAAGACACTACTGGCGCCTGCTTGAGCAAATCGATGAAAAATGGGGTGATAGTGATAGTGATAGTGATACTATACTGAGTGCTTGACTTTAAAATTATTAAACACATGGGTCAGAGCAATAGTCCATTGGATAAGGTGCTTGCCTTACACATGGTCGACCCTGGTATGATTCCCTCGCATTCCATCTGGTCCACCAAGCCCTACCAGGTTGATTCCTGAAGGGAAAGTCAGGGGCAGGCTCTGAACACTGTTGGGTATGTCTCCAAAACAAAGTAATTAAACATGCTAAGGAAAAATATACACTTCTTTGTTAGTTTACTGACTTTATGTATTATTAATTTCAGCAACATCAAGATGGCCTATTTGTTTTATTTTTTTCAAATCCCTTTACCATGTTATTTTTAAGATATTTTTATCCCTCTAGAGTTTAGCATTTTTATCTATGATTTTTGAATTATTAATAATATTTTATGACAAAATAGAAAATACGCTAAGAAAGAAAATGACAAATAAAAACATGGACCTCCCACTGGCCCAAAATTCATAATTAATGTTATAGCTATTTTCTTTCACGGGCTCTACCAGAGATAATCAGGTTATTTTGCTACTATTCTGGGCAAGAAGTAGAAAAGTGCTCTAAAATAATCAATATTTGAAATGCAGAAAAAAAACATTTTGATTCCATATATAACAGCATTGAGATTTAGTGTTAAATTATCAAAAACTACAAGCTTAATTTCTTTCAGAACTAAATGTCTAATCTTTTGAGACAATTAGAAAAATAAGCTGCCTAATGTGCTAGATTCTAGTAAACCCTTTTTTATTACTCCTCTGATATACTTAATTGTGTTTTGTTTAACTTGAAACATAATCCAGTTTGCAAAGCATCATGTAGCTCCCTCTGCTAGTATTCTAGTCACACCAGAATACCTTTCCTGTTTTCCTTATTCCCTAACGATGAAGTATTTCACTTATACCAAGTGTATTCAAAGTGCAGTGCCATTTAATTCCTAAGTTCATTTTATTTTCAAATGTATTTATGCAACAGTGTCTTGATGATAGGAGGTGCTCAATAAACATTTGTCGAATAGAGAAGAATGAATGAAACATACTACTTAACTGGAGTGCTGTACAGAATAGCACATTATTAATAACTATGCTGGAATTCTAAGAAGTGGCTGATGCAGGAACAAATGTAAGTCTTTTACTCACAGCAAAGTCTGTGAGATGAATGGGAGTCACATGCAGTGTATGATTTATTCATATACACTAGTAGGAGATTTATAGGCATCTATTAACCTACTCGATTTCCAATTCTGTCTTAGGCTGGTCTTTTGTCATGATTAGCTATGTTGTGACTCTATGTTAAATAACAGGTTGTCTGTGATGAAGTATGCAAGAAATATGATGACAGAAATCCACAATGATTATGTATGTACATGAGCCCAGCTAAATTGTAGATATAGCTCTACTTGCATGCTTAAAAATTAGACTTGTACATATACACAAAGGACATTTTTCTGTATTTTAAATTCATTGTGAGACACTAAATATGCTTCCCAAATAATCAATTTCTTGACATTCTGATGTACTTAAGAAGGTGACCATATTTAAAGATCTTTAAGGAGATAAGAAAAGACAGGGTCAGGAGATTGACTTCTAATTCATTATAATGTGCATCCTTGTAAGAAGAGAATATTTGGATACATCTATGTACAACGGAATAAAATAAAAAGTAACTAGAAAAGAAAGTTAACTATATACCAAAAAAGAGAACTGAAAGGAATTCTTACCTCAGGCGCACCAGAAGAAAATACCTTACAAATACCTTACCATAGACTTCTATTATACAACTTTGAGAAAATGTCATTTAAGATGCCCAATCTGGGGTGGGATAAATAGTACAGCAGATAGGGTTTCTTGCCTCACACTGATCTGATTACCCAGGTTTGATACCTGGTATTTCATATGCCCCTTCCCCAACTCCCAAGCACTAGCAGGAGTGATCCCTGAGCACAGCCATTTGGGACCCCGAGCCTCCTGCTTCCACCTGAATTAAGCACCCAATATCTGGCATATTTCTACAGCAGTCCAGAGAAACAAATAATCTCATGAAATAATAGAAAATGCAATGAATGTATGCATTTTAAGATTTATTGATAAATCAGTTTTTAAGATTTTTATTTATGAATCAGTTTTCAATAGAATTGAAAACATATGTTTTGCACTCACAGTACTGTTCCATTAATCTGTACATATAAAGAGGAATAAGAATGGGTGTGACATTACTCAAAAAACTAGGAACTGAGCTTCCATATGACCCAGCAACTCTACTCCAGAGAAAATACCCCAAGGGTCAAAAAGCACAAATTAGAAAATACATGTGCACCCCCTATGTTTATAAGATCACTATACTCAATAGCTACCACAAACAGCTGAGTGAATAAAGAAACAATGTGACACATATACAATGAAATATTACTGTATTTTTTTTGGGGGGGAAGGAGTCACACCCGGAGACGCACAGGGGTCACTCCTGGCTCTGCACTCAGGAATCATTCCTGGTAGTCCACAGGGGACCATATGGGATGCTGGGAATCAAACCTGGGTTGGCACTTGTAAGGCAAATGCCCTACCTGCTGTGCTATATAGCTCCAGTCTCACATTACACAGTCTAAAGAAAAGATAAAGTCATGCAATTTGCTGCAATGTAAACAGAAATGGAGAGAATGATGTTGAGTAAAATCAGCCAGAGGGAGAGGAACTCAGCGTGATCTCTCTCATATGTGGAAATAAAGGAAACCTTGTAGGGGAATATCAAATGCCCAATGGCAATACAAACAAAGATCATAAAACTGGATTTCAGTAAGAACCTTGGCACTTGGGCAGAAGTGAAGGGGATACGTTAGGGAAGGGAATATTATGAAAATGGGCTATTGGAGGGAAACTGGGCGCACTGTTGGAAGGCAGTGGGCACTGCTGAAGGGACTGGTGTTGAAACAATATAAGCCTGAAACTCAATCAAAAATACCTTTGTAACTGTGTAATTCACGGTGATTCAGTTAAAAAAATGAGTTTGTTGGGGCTGGAGCAATAGCACAGCGGGTAGGATGCGTGCTTGCATGCGACTGACTGAGGTTTGATTCCAGCATTCCATATTGTCCCCCGAGCACCACCAGGAGTAATTCCTGATTGCATGAGCCATGAGTAATCCCTGTGTAACGCCAAGTGTGACCCATAAAGTTAAAAAAAAAGAGTTTGTTCTTGTCAACATTCTTAACTTTGGAGAAGAAGTTAATGATATACATATCATTCAGCATATCACACTAGAATCAGAGCTGTTTCTCAGGGTAAGATATCATCAGGAAAACCAATGCCTTGAGTGAAAACCCTGACTAGCCCCTTCACCCAGTGACTTGAAACTGCAACTAAGTTGACCACATTGTCCAAATTTAGATGGACCATTGGATCCCTGGTCATTTATCCATTTTTCCAAAGCTGTGGTGCTCTTCACAGTAACAATCCATCCATGACATGGATTGAAGCTTGATTCTGGAGCTAGACAGCATTGGATGCCACGTCGAAATCCATAACTGTAAAATTCATCTTTTGGTAGTTTATTAAAAACACAGAATAAAGTTTTATACTCACAGCAGAGAAAGAGTAATAATTTCCCATGTTTTACCTTTCATAATAATTTAATAACTGTATCACATGAGAGGCATAAATAAAGAGAAGGAAAGGGGTGTGGATATGTAAGATCACTGAAGCATACAGAATTGCAAGGAAAAACAAATTACCAGGGAAGTGCTAGAAATAAAAGCTCAATGGGAAATATTTTTTCAGATGCTAATTTGATTCCTCTATGGAGTCCTAAAGCTGTAGCATCTACAACTGTACTATTTATCTCCACCGGTTTTTATTTTTAGCAATTATGTAACCTTGTATCTCTAAAAACCAATTAAACACCTTTCTGATCTCTAGTGGAAATTTTCTCTAAATGGTTCTCAAACTAGACTATAACAGGACTATGATTTCATTTCCAACATATATTTGAAAGTGTTTCATCACCAGATGTGTTACAAAAAGTATCAAAATTAATAAACAAGGGGGAAATCAAAATAGGACACCACTTTCTCGGGACTCTGTTACAGTCTCTGAGGTTTGATTCACAATAAACATGAAGATATTAGGTATTTGATGGGCATCTTTCTTGGTCACATTATATTATGTTGATTCACAAGAAATAAATTGTCTCTGAATATCCATCTATCCCATATAATTAAAACTGCCTCAGTCCCATATAATAAATATAGACTTCTAAGTACAGAATAATTTCTATTAAACTTATAGATAATATAAAAAAACATCACTTTCCTTAAATATAAGTAAAGTAAAACATAAATCTTAGTCACTTTAATTCCGTTTTATCGTCTGCATGTACTAAAGACTTTTTTCTATCCCTCTAGAAAGTATTCAAAACGACAAATTCAAAGCATCACAATATCTGTTTTCACAAAACAACAGTATCCTGCGTGTTGGATAACAGGCCTCCCGAGAGTCTGACCTTGGCATTATTTTCCATAGTCACTCACCGGCAGTGTTTATGGGATCCAGTCAGGGTTTCAATCACAAAGCACTCGCCATCATTGAGACAGTAGGCAAGGTCCTTGTCTCGACAGGGTTTGAAGTGTTCAGACCGCTCAGTGGAATAAGTTGTGGTATCTGTCAAGCAAACACAGAGAAGAGTTGTCAGTAGTTTCTCTTAACAGCAGAAATTCCTGTTACTGGTCTGAATGCATGGAAACCTTCTCACAGGTTGCTGAGTATCTTGGGGGAACAGATAGCTTGAACCTGCATGATACTAAACAGGAACCGGTTATGACCACCAATCCAAACTAAATGTTTCAGTCACCCCAAATTTAATCCCTAATCCCTAGTGTGACACTCCTATGAGGTAGCATATAAAGAGATCAAATTGTATATGTGATTAAACAAGGAATCAGTTAGCACATCAAATCTATAAGCATCTTGATCAGGAACATCCCAACTTCCAGATTGTGAAAGGAAAATTACGCAGTTTATAAGCCACACAGTTTATAAAATTTGGTTATAGCAGCCTGGAATGTCTAAAAATCATTCTACATTCAATTGCCCTATTTCTCACTAGACTTTAACAATTGGCATCACTCAAGAGAAGTATCATTTGAAGACACATTACCAGTAAACTCAAAGTGATCCTACAGTTAAACCCCCAAATCCATTTTCGCTAATTTCAGTTTTAACATGCTGTGTGAATGATTAAAATGATGTTTTCCTCCCTTCATTGTTGCCAAGTGCCATTAAACATCTGATCCATGTATATTGTGAGTATTTTGTGGAAATGAATAGCAGACTCTGTTTTTCATTTCCTTTTGTTTTGTTTTGTTTTTTTAGTTACAGCTCTAATCAGCTAATAGCTAAGTTAATTATTTCACTTTCCCCTTTTATTATGTAATCACAATGCAAATGTTTAAATTCTGAAACAGAATTCCAAATGTGAAAAATGATTCTTGTAAATATTTAACTGGAGCAACTCACTGTCAACTATTAGCACTTTATTAAACACTTATTTTTAAAATAATAATTTTACTTATATTTTTTAAAACTAAGACAAATATCTATATTTTCAACACAAGTAAGAAATTAGGCATACATATCTATTATCTACTATACACAGACTATTATCACAGATAAATGTTCTAGGGTTTCGAAAATTAAAGAGTTTACAATAATTCTACTGCAACATTCAACAAAACACAGTATTTAAAAAGTTAAACATGAATAACTGGTTTAACAATCAAACTCTTAGTGTCCTTTACATAGTTCTAGATTAAATATATTTAATAGCATGGGTTACTCTACCAGCTTATGAATAATCGATATAATGAGCTTCTTCTTCCTGCTCACCATCCAAAATGAGTGTAGAATGATTCACTTGATCACTTGATCACTTGACCTCCCGTTAATCGTCGATTTGCTCAAGTGGATGCCAGTAACGTCTCCATTTGTCCCTGTCGCGTGCTAGTGTAGCCCAATGGCATCTGTTCGCTCTGGGATCATGAAGAGCCTCAAACCGATCGTTCATGATCTTCACGAAGAAGTCTGACCATCTGGTAGGTGGGCGGCCACGTGGTCTTTTGACATCCCGTGGAATCCAGTCAGTAACAGCTCTAGTCCAGCAGTCGTCTTTAAATCTCATTACGTGACCAGCCCATCTGATTTTTGACACCTTGGCAAATGAGACAGCGTCCCTGATTCTTGATCGTCGAAGGATGTCGGAACTCCGGATTTTTTCTCTCATTTGAGTGAAAAGTGATATTCCAAGCATAGCTCTTTCTATTCTTCTTTGGGAGACCTGAATAGCATTCTCTTCCTGTTTGCGTAGGACTCAGGTCTCTGAGGCATATGTTAATGCAGGAAGAACAGTGGAATCAAAGAGATGTGCCCTGAGCCTGAGGTTCATCGTCCTCTTAGCTATTTCTTTGACGTTCTTGAAGGCGTTCCAAGCCGCTCTCTTCCTCCTGCGCAGCTCGGGTGCCAGGTCATTTGTCATGTTGACCTCTCGACCTAGGTACACATAGCTGTTGCATTCGGAGATGGTCGTTCCGTTGAGAGCAAATGGGGCGTCAGGAACAAGGCTGTTTCTCATAAATATTGTCTTCGTAAGATTCAGCTGTAGTCCGACCTTTCCACACTCACGGTGGAAATCAAATCACATATATATCACATCTAAAATTCTTCAGTGGACACAATTCCATTGACATAGCTCCATTTGTTTTTGTTTGTTTGTTTGTTTATTTGTTCATATTTATTTGACCAGAAAATTCTTCTGGAATTTTGCTTGACTAACCTAATCTTCTGGTATCCGAAAACATATATATCCAGCTAATGTTCTATTTCCCCAAATATAAGGGACTGTCAGGTTGATCCCACTTCCTGTATCACCTCATTCTTTCCTTAACAGTAGTTCTTCAGTGTTTACGTCATATCCACCTTTGATTCCCTTGTGCCCTTCTTATTCTTGTATCATTGTCCAGTACTTTCAGAGCATGCAAATTATCATCTTCCAATGTATATCTATTTCTGTAGCCAGGAATTCATTAAGATTAGTGTCTGAGTCTTAATTTGAATGGGTAAAAATGTCAGTAAAAATGTCTTTATATGTTAAATTACTTTAACACCACTAAAACACCAGTGTCATTGATTAAGAATTATTAAAAATCCATTTCATTTATATGAGTTAATATAAATCTTAAATATAAATATAAATAATATAAATAATAAAATCAAGATTGTTATTTCTTGGGGTCACACCCACCAACTGGCCCCCTGGCGCCGTGTAATCCCATCAGCGGCCAAGACTCAGAGACTATAAAAACCAGCTCCCTGAAGAGAACAGCGCAGTCTCCTGCCCCCACGCCTGGCCTTTCCTCGCCGGGGCCCCTTGGAGGGGAGCGGGTTGAGCTTTCCTCCCTGCCCTGACCAGGGCCCCGGCAGCCGAAGACCTCCAGGACCAGCCACCACCATGCTGAGACCACTCTCTGCACACCTGAAGGTACCGGCAGAGGGACAAAGCCACGTGGGTTCCGGGGCCGAGATCTCCAAGCCTACTCGGATTTGGGCCGAGCATCCTCCACCCAGATCCTCCAAATTCCAGTAGGCGGAGGTCACACCCACCAACTAGACCCCTGGCGCCGTGTAATCCCATCAGCGGCCAAGACTCAGAGACTATAAAACCAGGTCCCGGACATCTTATTATGACATCTCATTCCTACTTTGACAAACTGTCAGGCTACCAAATGTAGCCTGCCCACACGGCAGAGTCTGGCAAACTCCCCATGGCATACCCAATATGCCAAATACCAGTAACAATGATGGGTCTCATTCTCCTAAAGAGCCTTGAATATAATCTCAGGGATAGGATGAAGGAGACATTACTGGGGCCTGCTCGAGGCAATTGATGAATAACAGGATTATTTGCAATTTGTGATTTGTGTTATTTCTAGGCTGGAGCGATAGCACAGCAGGTAAGGCATTTGCCTTGCATGCGGCCGACCCGGTTTCAATTCCTCCATCCCTCTTGGAGAGCCCAGCAAAGTGCCAAGAGTATCTCACCCGCAGGTCAGATCCTGGCAAGCTCCCCATGACATATTTAATATGCCAAAAACAGTAACAGCAAGTCTCACTATGGAAACATTACTGGTCTCAAACAAATTGATGAACAAAGGGATGACAACACTACAGTGTTCATATAAATCTTTAAAAAAATTAGAAATAATTTTCTTTTGTGATCACCAGCATCCTATTTAAATGTTGATGAACACTGCAGAAATAAACATTGCCTTCAGATTCATACAAATTCTCTTAGGTACTATTCTTACACTGTGAGCATTGAAAAACCCTTTGCTTTCTTGATCATATAATGGGAATTTATTTCTTTTACTTTAAAATATCTGCCTATTAACACTTTAAAAAGGAATAAAAGTTCTGCAAAACAGACACATTTATCTGCTTTCCAGGAGAGACGTTATTCAGGGCAGTATGTGCTAAATAGGTACATAGAATTAATTATCTTTTTATGGGAAATATTTAAAATTCAAGAGCTCTAAGCAACAAATTCATTATGAAACAGCACACAGTTGACTGCTGCTGTGACCACTGAAGTATATGAACTCATGATCAGTTAGTTAACTTTTCTTTTAATTTCTTATTATCCATTTTCTGATGTTCACTGATCATTCCTCTAAGAACAGCTTTTCATTAACATAACCTACTGCATAAAGAAACGTGATCCTTATTTTATAATCATCAGTTTTAACAAGCTGCAGATTCCAAGTACTGTACAATGGCAAACCAATTACAATCAATTAGTTTCCACCTGACACTCTCTCTCTGGTGGTTACATCCCATTCTACCAAGTACTTTCCCCCATCACAATGACATCCTTTAGCGCATTACAGAGAATTGGAGACTATGAAAGGGCCTCTGTTAAAGTCTGAGGTGGGAGGTACTGAGAGCTCAGATTTAACCTGTACTGGAGTTTTCTATTTTCATAGCTTAGAGAATTCCATAACTAATTTTATTTCATTTGTACTATTCTTTGGGGGGATTTATGGGCCCACCTAGGTATGTTCAGGATGTAGTCTTGGCTCTGAACTCAGGAATCATTTCTGGTGGGCTTTGAGGACCAGATAGAATGTCAAGGAATCAACTCTGTCAGCCATGCATAATGCAAGTGTGATACCTGCTGTACAATCTCCCTGGCATTAATGACAATTTAAAAAATGCATGCCTATCCCTCACATTGACTTGACTGCATTCAAAGTACTATTGTTATCAAAAATTTCAATTGCAGTTTACCTACAAGAAACATTCCAAGATTCTGTTATTGTTGTCATCAATAACAGAATCTTGGAATGTTTCTTGTAGGTAAACTGCAATTTGTAGTATGTTTAGGTAAATTTTAATATTTACCTAAGCAATTTGCTACAGAGGATCCACATTAGGCTGTCTCTCCCCGGGTCCCCATCTGCCCAGCAGACTGGCTGTCATGCCGACAATTTGCCTCTGGGTGCCATCTTGGTGCACCAACAACCCTGGCCCAGAGACATAGCAGAAAGTCCTGGAAGACACCACAGTGTCAGAGATCTCTCTGGGACCCAAACTGGGCCAATTTCACCGGG